GTATGTATGGACATTCGACAACAGGGATTAGATACATACTTGGTTGTTTAAAATGTTCTTCTATGCTTAATGGATTCCTAATGCTTAGTTTAGGTTAGACAACAGATGATCAAATTAGGGAATTAGGAATACAAGGTTAGGACCAGACACCATGTCTTAATCATACTTTAGCTAGAATCAATCCGTTAATCTAATTGAACTTGGGAACTTATCTGCTTGAGTTATTTTCTTTTCTTTCTTTCTTGTTTTATTTATTTTCTTTCTTGTTTTTCTGTTTTGTGTAGGAAAACTGAATTGGATTATTCAATCACCAATCCCTGTGGAATCGACCTCGCACTTACATATGCTATACTACCGAACGGCTCGTGCACTTGCAAGTATCACAAGTTGAGGATGCAGCTAAATCCATTTTGGTGCAGCTGAATCGACGCAACAACCCGAGGCACCACAAAATAAGTCCAAACAATGCTTCATAAGCTTAGCTTGGTGGATAGAGGCATCCCCAAATAAAATAAGGTCATCGACAAAGAAGAGGTGGGATATAGCAGAACCATTTATGGCAATCTTAATAGACTTCCAAGTTCCAGAGGAAACATGATCATTGATAATATGGGAAAGTTGTTCCATACACAGAACAAAGATATAAGGGGAGAGGGGGTCACCTTGTTTGATCCCAGCACTAGGAGAGAATCTTTCAGTAAGCTCACCATTGAGGATGGCTTGGTATATGACAGACTTAATGCACTGCATGATAAGAACAAGTAATTTACCTCTAATCCCAATTTCCCATAACACATCATTGATGAAATCCCAATGAAGTCTGTCATAGGCTTTGGAGAGGTCAATTTTCCAAGTAATGAAACCCTTCTCCAACCCATATGTTAAATTGCAGCATGGACATGAAATGACAAAAATTGAAGGTTAAAATTGCTCAAACTGAGTAGTCAAATTATACATGAATTTGAAGGCTGGAAAAGATATGTCAAAAATAACATATCAAAAAGCTTGATGTCAAATATTTTTTTAGTCATAGACCCTACTATATCATTCACTCTATTTTAAAACTTTATATATCCTATGAGTCCCATTTGCTTTTAAAAATATAATAAAATAATATGATATTTTGCATTTTGGGTGGAGTTAAATTTTTTCCAAAGTGTCAAATTATTAGGGCTGCACACGGGTCGGGTCGGGTCAGTTATGGGCTCAAACCGTTCACCGAACCGGGTCATGTCGACGGGCCCAAATCCTTAACCGCACACCTGTTTATTAGACCCATTTTCGACTTAAGTCGATACCCGAATTAAGTGGGTCGGGTTGGTTCGGTTTGGATGTATGCCGAGGCCCAACAAAATCAACAATTGAAGGTTTTTTTTTTTAAGTTTTTCAGGCCCATTCTTTTTTTTTTAAGTTTTCCAGGCCCATTTTTTTATTTATAAAAAACAAGTTTTCCAGGCCCATTCTGTTTTTCCAGTTTCTCCTATTTAAAGTTTATCATCATTCAAATATTAAAATAAATAAAAAAAACCCTTAAAACCTAAGAAAATCATCAACCACCACTCATGTCCAAATAATCCAATAATTATTACAAACCATAGCTGATTGTGAGAGTAATCTCAATCACAATCTGCATATTTGCAAAGTTTAAAAGAAAATCCAAATGAAAACAAATAAATTTCCATGACAGCAACCAAAATAACAACCAAAATTTAAAAATTTACGAGAAATAAACACAACCAGCAAGCCAATCCTTTTTCCTTAGCCTACAAATCAATTATGTACAGGTAATGATATCACAAAGGAACATTAGTGGAGAACAAAAAATGAACTCTGTTTCAAATGAAAAAGTTTCCATTCTCTTTTTTCATTATTTTAGGAAACTCGATTAGTATAGAAGCAGACACACACACACACAGAGGTAAGGATTATAACCTGTGTTAGACATAACCCCGAGAAATTTTAGCAAACTCGATTAGTATAGCTAGCACCTGAATTTTTTGAGATGTTAAATATAGTAATATACGTAGCACATAACCAGTACATAAAATGCAATACATAATAAAACTCGGTTGCTGGGCAGTGTCCCCAAAAAAATATCAAATAAAAAGAAAATTGCCAGATAGCAGTTCCTTTTATCAGACATTATTCATTACAGTGAACAAACATCTTATAACATAAACCAAAAATTCTTGAACCAAAAAATATAGAAAATTACCAGAAATAAAAACACAACCAACAGCAAGCCAATCCTTTCCTTAGCCTTCAAAATTAATCTGTCCAACAGAAAAAATCACAACATAGTTAGACAAAATAAATATAATAAATATAAATTTTCGGCCCTAAAATAAATAAATACAAATAATAAAAATCACAACATAGTCAGACTCGTTCAAGAGAATTTGCGGCTCAAATTGACAGAAAAATCGAGTGAGGAAAACTGAGAGAGAGCGAGAGTGACCGTGAGAGAGAGAGAGCGACACTGATTGAGAGAGCGCGAGTTACTGAGAGTGAGAGAGAGAGAGAGAGAGAGAGAGAGCGAGAGCGAGAGTGACAGAGAGCCACCCTGCGAGTGACTCAGAGAGAGAAAGAGAGAGAGCGAGAGAGAGAACGATAGTGACAGAGAGATTGAAAGAAGAAGTCGACGGATTTGGTTTTTGGGGAGAGGAGGTTAAGTGAGAGAGTGAGGCAGCAGATCAGATCTGTCTGATCGAGAGAGAGAAGTGAAAAAAAATTTGGAGCGGTTGAAGAAATGAAATGTTAGAACTTAGGTTAGGGTTTGTTTGAGTGAGAGGAGGTTGAGTGAGAGGTTGAGTGAGAGAGGCAGAGGCAGAGGCAGCAGATCTAATCAAGAGAGAGAGAAGTGAAAAAATATTTGGAGCGGCTGAAGAAATGAAATGTTAGGGTTTGTTTGAGAGAGCGATCGAGTGTGGCAAGGCGTAGACTTGGGTTTAAAATGGACGAATCAGCTGCTGCCACATGTTTTAATTCATTTTTAAATAATATAATTTAAAATGTTCGGTCCGGTCCGGTTTTCACCGGTTTTGGAGAAAATTAAACTGGTTCAACCCGATTCATAGCCGGTTCGGTTGGTTTTTTTACCGGTTTATGCATTTTTAATTATAAAAACCAAACCAAACCACCAAAAACGGTCTAGTTCGGCCGGTTCAGTCGGGTTTTCGGTAATAATGCCCACCCCTACAAATTATCACGTAAGCCATCAAATTCAAATTTAATATTTGGAATTTGACATCTCCCTTGAAGATGCTCTTAGATAAAACTTCTCTAAACTTGGTGATATCCCACCAATTATTAAGAAAAAAGTTGGATACCACACGGTCAACATCACATACTTTCAAAACTCCATCATGATGCATCAAGGGTATGTCACTAAACCAGCTATCCTTCCAGAATTTGACTTAATCACCCAACCCAATCCTCCACCTCATACCTTTCAAAAGTAACTCCATACCATGGACAATACCTTTCCAAGTATCTCGGGTTAGTGACTTCATTATACCCCAGTTGAATTATTTCTTAATATATTTAAGTATGGGCTTAATTAGTGTTTTCCACTTTGGATTCGAATTTTGCTATCAATTTATCTCCTGGAGTTCAAAAGTTCTCACTTAACCCCTCTCTACTTTACCATTTTTCTTAAACTCCGTCCACAAAACCATTAACTGACGTGGCGTGAAATTTCTAATAATTTTAACTATTAAAAACTTTAAAATCCAAATTAAAATATGAAAAACTTATTACAGCCAATTATTCACATAAACAAAGCCTTGAAATGAAAACCATTGGCTTTGAATTCGAACATAAACAAATACAAAAACCAAAAGGGTTCACAAACATGTGCTGAAACAGACAATAGTCGCAGTTCATTATTTCCCAAACTTGCAAGCCAGACATTGAAGGAAACAAAAAAAATAAACGAAAGAAAAAGCAAAAGGAGAATTGGTTCTGGTGGTAGGGTTGGCTACTTGTAGTAGGAGAGAACAGTATATATGGTCTGCGTTAAGGTAAGGATGAGAATAACGGCCACTCCATTAGAAACAGACCAGAATGATGACGGATTGTATAAATAATTCCGTTTGACCCTTATTAGCCAAGTCCTTAGCCAGCGACGCTTAATATATTCATTTACTTCCTCTGCGAGGTCACCGTAAAAGAAGAACATGGCTTCACTGCCTTTGGAAAGCCTTTTGAAGAAAGAGGCTGTGCTCACCTTGCTCAACTCTGTAGTTATAATTTTTTTCTGAATCAGAAAGTCCACATCTTGTACAGACTCAATAAGTTGACTCAACAGGATGGCATAAGAGGTCATGTGACACTGGTCGGGCTTCTGTAAACATTGTTCGTAGGCTATGAGGTTTCTGATGAAACATTCTCCATCCTCCTTTATTATTATTGGTGGAATCTCCATCACTCCATTTCTAAAGGTAATGCCGAGCTGACCATTGTTGGATGAGCCAGCCACAAATTTGACTCCAATTTCTAGAAGCTCTGACACGGAAGGAATCGGAGTTCGATATTCAGTATCCTTCACAACTTCCTTGTATGGTTGAACCACAAAATTTCTTACAGTCTCGAGTAAATGGCTGCTTTCGAATTCTTCTTCGAGGTTTAGAGGCCTTATACTTTCAAATGACTGTTGAAATGTGGGGTTCTGAAAGAAAAGGAAAGCAAGTTGACGTAGAGATGGCAATGGCATTCGATGGAAATCAACATCTACCACCTTGAATAAGCAGTAAAGAACCCTCCATGGGAGTTGGTTTTCAACTAGCAACAAATCATTTTTAATTGTCGACAACATCCTTTGCGTCTTGAAAATAGCATCATCATCTTCCACGGGAGAATGGCCTTGCTGTTTGCAGAGAAGTTCAATAATAAAGCAGCCATCAACGAGCATCATTTCTACAAATTCATCACTAGACAGAGGAAACCTTTCTTCATAGCATTCACGGCAAAAATATTCTTGCTCTTCAATTTTTAAGAGAAGGTCCCACAAACGGTCGGCTAGAGTTTGTTTACCAAGAAGGCAATTCAAATACCATATTTTCATTTCTTCCATGGCTTGCAAACGCTCTCTTCCATGGTGAAATGGCCCAATTGAAACCAGATTTGGGGCCATTTCATTGTACCTTCGTAGTGTTTCTGGGACTCTGTATATGGAACTACGAGCTGGTAATGGTAATGCGCTTTCAAGTTTTGTTCTCAAGGAGTGTAGTGATCTGAATGACACCATGATCCCCTTCAACCTCCAAATTTGACTCGCTCTGCTTTTATTAATAGGACAAAATCAGCAAATTGTTTATAATAAAAAATGTCAATGAATTAAAGTACCAAAAGTGGAACCACGTATAAAGAATATCTGATTTATGCACGGAGGAGTTGCACTCTTTATTTAACGAAGGTATTTCTACAACTTGGAGATTTATACATGTAGAATAGATTAACAAATAATACTTATGGGAAAAGCTTGGCTCCTTCAAATTGAGGAGTAATTTTTGAGTGTTCCAGGTACACCACGTGGCTGGTGTACCATCCAATAGACGGAGGACATATGGAATATTTCTAATGCAGCTCAGAGGAGCTCATTCTCATAACAAATGAGATTTTTACACCTGTCAATCTAAGACATATATCTTGAATATATGTTGGGTTGTGTGGTCAATGACCTTCATGGATCATCTTCTTCTTCATTTTTGTACTAGTTGCTCATTCTTCTATCAATAAAATGCTATCTTTCGATAAACAAACAAAAAAAATCAATAAAATGCTATTGCCCTTCTCTTTCTTAAAAATAAAAAATAAAAAATCCCGCCTTTAAGGTTTTCAAAAACCAAAAAATAATAATAACTCATTTACTCTCTATATTCCAAAATAGTTCACGGTATAATTATCAATTCTCTCTTGTACCTTTGGACTTATGATACCCGCATTATTTCAGAAAAAGAAAGTTAATATTAGATGAAGTTAGAATAAATTATTTTTTAAACCTTTTTTCATCACATCGGTAAAATCACAAAAAGAAACCCAAATTCGTTATTTTAGTATATGCATAGACGACGGACATTTGTTATTCCTGCATAAGAGACCAAGATCTAATTGAAATTGTTTAGATTTCAATGATAAAAAGATAGGAAGATTGAGAACTTGCACAGTGCTGCTCGAGACACCATATATATGTAATTGGTAACTGACAAAGGAAAGAGAAAGAAACTCACCAGGATGAATCGAGAGGTTCGATGGAGTTGTCGTTGCAGGATAAGTGTGAAAAGATAAGGTACGCAAGGATGAAGCCTACACGCCCTTTTAATGTGGAAACACCTCCTCGTCCACATTGGTCAAAGTCGTTTTCTAAGATACTGCTACTATTTCCACCGTATTGTCTTATTTTTCCATCCACTTTATCTTCATACCCATTATATAAAGAGTTTTTCTATTCAAACACCCCGCACTTCTTTTTGTTCACCCCAATTTCTGATTCAAATTTTCACAATTTCTAATAAAACCCCACTATCTTCCCAAACTACCCCTAAATACACACTCAACAGAAATAAACAAAATTTAAAAACTATCAACCTCACACCCCACACCCCACGCCCCGCTATTTTGCCCCTCACCACTCTAAGTTCATCTAAATCTCATATTACTTAAAGAGATAAAAACATTGTTAGTCAAACTCAATTGACAACCCACAAGCCACTATTTGCATACCGTATTTAGGGCTTTATCAAATATTATCAAGTTCAAAAGGATAAATTTGTCTTTAAAATTTTGAAGGGCTTTATCAAATACTATCAGCCACATGCTTGCTTGCTCTAGAGCATTCTTGTGTGTTGTGTATTTGTTTAGCAGGAATAGTCCACCAACCTTGTCATTTAGTACAGTAGCTACCCTCTTCTAGATTCTACTACAATTATCTTAGATATTTGATAGATATATTATAGCATTTTGGGATTCTAAATGGAGAACTCTATTACTCTGTAGAGATTTCTGCCAAATGTCCAACACATTTTACAATAACAGATTCTGCAACCATGGGTAAAACTCACCAGGATGAATCGAGAGGTTCGATGGAGTTGTCGTTGCAGGATAAGTGTGAAAAGATAAGGTACGCAAGGATGAAGCCTACACGCCCTTTTGAATGTGGAAACACCTCCTCGTCCACATTGGTCAAAGTCGTTTTCTAAGATACTGCTACTATTTCCACCCTATTGTCTTATTTTCCCATCCATTTTATCTACCTACCCATTATATAAAGAGTTTTTCTATTCAAACCCCGCACTTCTTTTTGTTCACCCCAATTTCTAATTCAAATTTTCACAATTTCTAATAAAACCCCACTATCTTCCCAAACTACCCCTAAATACACACTCAACAGAAATAAACAAAATTTAAAAACTATCAACCTCACACCCCACACCCCATGCCCCACTATTTTGCCCCTCACCACTCAAAGTTCATCTAAATCTCATATTACTTAAAGAGATAAAAACATTGTTAGTCAAACTCAATTGACGACCCACAAGCCACTATTTGCATACCGTATTTAGGGCTTTATCAAATATTATCAAGTTCAAAAGAATAATTTGTCTTTAAAATTTTGAAGGGCTTTATCAAATATTATCAGCCACATGCTTGCTTGCTCTAGAGCTTTCTTGTGTTGTGTGTGTTTGTTTAGCAGGAATAGTCCACCAACCTTGTCATTTAGTATAGTAGCTACCCTCTTCTAGATTCTACTACAATTGTCTTAGATATTTGATAGATATATTATAGCATTTGGGATTCTAAATTATTCTGGAGAACTCTATTACTCTGTAGAGATTTCTGCCAAATGTCCAACACATTTTACAATAACAGATTCTGCAACCATGGGTAAAACAAAGGGGAGATTTACTATTATACCAAATATAGGAGCCCAAATTATAAAAAACCCTATATAAAATGAACTTTAGAAACACACCCAAAGCCTATTTACAACATAACAAAAAGACATTTAACTTTTTTTAAATTACAAAACTGCCATTGATTTCTTAAAACAAACACAACCCAAAAACCTCATAAAAAAGCCCCAAACACTCAGTAGGGCATCAAAGTAATTTAATAATTAAAATTAAATTCAATAGGGCCAGTTGTCATTTTTTGGATTTTTTTTGGGTTTGTTTATAGAAATTAAATGGTATAGGGTTTATTTATAGTTTTAGTGCTAAAACTGGGTATATGACTAAATATCTCAAAAAAAAATTGAAATTAAAGCAAAGCCTCGGGATTCTAAACGCATATTAAAGCTAGAAATATACTGCATTCAGAAAAGAAAGGTGGGTTAAAATAGGACATGTGGGTGGAAGTAGCAGCACTCTTCTAATAATACGTGAATATTTTGTCTTCACAATTTCTCCTTACATTATCCAACAATTGTTTATCAAACATGCTACTATTGTACAAGATTTTCATGTTGTCTTTTGTCCATTGAAAAGTGTGAATTCACCATATTATCCTCATTTAATTAATAATTTCAATTCTTAATGTTTGCATTAACCAAGGGCATTTTCTGGTATTTTGAATGTTTCACCATTTTCTGCCTTTTACTTTATATATATAGATATAGGAGCCCAAATTATAAAAAACCCTATATAAAATGAACTTTAGAAACACACTCAAAGCCTATTTACAACATAACAAAAAGACATTTAACTTTTTTAAAATTACAAAACTGCCATTGATTTGTTAAAACAAACCCAATCTAAAAACCTCATAAAAAAGCCCCAAACACTTAGTAGGGCATCAAAGTAATTTAATAATTAAAATTAAATTCAATAGGGCCAGTTGTCATTTTTTGGGTTTGTTTATAGAAATTAAATGGTGTAGGGTTTATTTATAGTTTTAGTGCTAAAACTGGGTATATGACTAAATATCTCAAAAAGAAAAATTGAAATTAAAGCAAAGCCTCGGGATTCTAAACGTATATTAAAGCTAGAAATATACTGCATTCAGAAAAGAAAGGTGGGTTAAAATAGGACATGTGGGTGGAAGTAGCAACACTCTTCTAATAATACGTGAATATTTTGTCTTCTCAATTTCTCCTTACATTATCCAACAATTGTTTATCAAACATGCTACTATTGTACAAGATTTTCATGTTGTCTTTTGTCCATTTTGTTCATTTTGCTTCAAGATCTCGAATTTGTAGTTTGGTGGTTGAGAAATGAAGTGCAGAAAATATATCGATCTAATCTGTAGTTTCTATTCATTTTCGATACTTTTGATTGCATATCTTGAATTTATATTGTTTGATGGCTGAGAACGTGTGGCAAAAACAAACAATTAGAAAATACGTGACCAAGCTATGATGTTAGGGAAAGCATGTGATGGAATGGACACTACGATAACAATAGAAGAGATTGGTGTTTTCGTAACAGAGTGATTTTATTAGAATGGAGAGAAGTACACTGCTTGGTGTAGAACTATAGGCTATTAGCCTTATAATGGAGCAATTGGTTGGCTACCTAATGGATTTATAATATAGTAGGCTAATTGGCCGTTCAGTGATTAGTGGGTTTGTAAATGATAATCGAAGATAAAATCAATGAATAAAATATAGTATAAAGTTGTTTAAATAAGAGTGCTGCTATTTCCACTCACCTGTTCTATTTTTTCACCTATCTTATCTTCAGAATTTACCCCTTTGTAAAATGACTTCTAAGGATTTCGCCTCCCCACCAACAAATAAGTGTTAACTTTTAATTAAAAAAAAAAAAAAACTAAAACTAATTATTTAAAAAACAAAAACAAAAACTCAATAGCCACCAAAGCTCCCCACCTAGCCACCCGATCCTACCCCGCAGGCGCTGACCCCCTCCCCCATTGCTGCCGATAAATCCTCATTGACATGGCACTACCACATAAGCTGCCACATAATGTGGTCAGCTAATGTGGTTAATTAAGTGTGTTTAAATAGCATTGTGGTGTAAATAGGATTCTTTCTTGTCTTAAAGGAATTCTAGTAGTCTTTTTTTTTTTTTTTTTTGTTGTTGTTGAGAGAAAGAGATAGTATATTATTCATAGAAAACAGTGAGTACCTAGTACAAAAATCGGGCTATATATGTCGTCAAGGATTAGGCAAGTGTCTCTACACCAATGGTAAATGAAGCGGTCTAACTAAGTAGCCTTACCCGCTCAACCGCAAGCGGGAGTAGGAACCTTACATCTGATAGAGTTCCCCCATCCACCACGACCCCCCGCCCCGGGCCCGCGTGTCCCCCTCAGATCATGCCCATAAAAACCACTGGTTTACAATCTTCAAAAAGTCAGCAATAAAATTTGGTGGTTCCTCAAACCATCTAATAGAGGCCCCAATATGTAAGGTTGATGGGTCGGTCAAGTGGTATAAAGCTTAGCTTGTGGAAAACGGCTCTCACCAGCAAGAAGGGTTTGATTACAACGAGACTTTCAATCCAGTTGTAAAGTACACGACGAATCGGGTGGTGCTCAGTCTAACTGTTTCTCAAGGCTGGGCAGTTCAACAACTTGCCGTACAAAATGCTTTTTTGCATGGGTTCGACCGAAGAAGTATGCATGCGTCAACCACAAGCGTTTATTGATCCCCAACATCCTCATTATTTGTGTAAGTTGAAGAGGTCCCTCTATGACTTGAAACAAGCTCCACGGGCTTGATTTCAAAGGTTTACTCATTATCTACTAGAGCTTGGTTTTACTTAGTCCTTGTGCGATTATTCTCTGTTTGTTCACAATCATAAGGATGTTCTTCTTATCTTAGTCATTTATGTGGACGATATCCTTGTCATTGGAAATTGTTATGTTCATGTCACGCCTTTAATTGAAAAATTGAGTCTTCTGTTTTCAATGAAAGATTTGGGACAACTACATTATTTCCTGGGAATTGAGGCTACTTACTCTGGTTCAAGTTTGCATTTGACACAAGCTAAGTATACACTGGATTTTCCGGCGAAGAACAAATTTTTTGGATTGCAAACCTATCAATACACTGGTGGTTTCTTGTCAGAAGATGAGCGTACAAATGGGTGATCCGCTTCGTGATCCTACTGAATATAGAAGTGTTGTTGGGGCCCTACAATATCTAACTATAACACGTCCAGACCTTTCATATGATGTTAATCAAGTTTGTCAGTTTATGCACTCTCCCACAACGGTGCATTGGCAGGCGGTTAAATGAATTTTGCTTTATTTGAAGGCCACTTAATCTCATGGTTTGGTATATCGTGATGGGAAAATCAAGTTGCATGGTTTTTCTGATG